GAAGCAGGGGCTCTGAGTTCAGTGGGCCTGGGACCCCGTGCTGTGTTAGGGAAAAATACCCAACATCCTACATCCCCCAGCCTTTCTCCTACAGCGTGAGGTGACAGCTAATCCCCTCCATTGCAAGATTTTTCTGGCGAGGCTAGAAGTGAAATGAAGTTTTCCAAGTCCATAAATGGTGGATGCTCGGACGGAGAGTCAGTTCCGCGCTGGAGAGGGAAAAGCCGAGGAGCACCACGAGCCTTCCCTGAACAGGTGAGAGGTGAGCCAGGGGTCAGGGCTCGGGCCCCCGCTGGAGCCTACACACAGGCTGGCTGTTGGTGGCTCTGCCCTGGGGGTGTCAGATGGACTAGAAATCCAGCGAGTCACACTCAGCGCATTCAAAAGACCTCATACTTGCAGCGGTTAAGTGTAAAGCTCGGTGGAGCCAGGCTGCCTGGGTTCAAATCCTGACCCTGAAATGTACTCGCTGTGTGGCCTCAGTCCGCTCGTCCTATAGGATGATGACAGGACCTGTCCAAAGGCTGTCATGTGGCTTCGAGTGTAGCCCTGGGCCTCATGTGTAGTAGGTGTTATTGTGTCTTTGAAGTACATTTATGTAAAATCAAAATATATGTGCTGGAAGAAGCTATCTGCTGCTGGGTGAACAGGAGGTGGGAGGGCACAGTGGCCTCTGACTCTGGCCGCAGGTCAGCGGGTGCCTTGCCTCAAGCCAAGCACACTGGTGACATTTAAAGTTACATTTTCCCCACACAACACAGCCCTTAAGAGACAGGGTAGCGACTTCCTCTGATCTGCACCAGCAAGGTGGCGATCTGTTCCATCCTTGGCCTGGCTGGATCAGGAGACTGTGGGTTGGCTGCCTACACGGGGCTTCTGTCCGCACATAAGACTCAAAGCCACTGAACTGTGTTCTCGGCTCTCAGACCCTCTGCCCTGACATGTGGCACCCCTTGAGGGGGCCCAGGGCACCACACAAGTCCCAGGTAAACTCCATCCCCACTGTCTAATGCCAGAAAGCATACTGAAATACAAGTGAGAGAGGGGGGGCAAGATGAAAAGAATCACCTCAAATCCACTCGACTATCATTTTTCAAACAGTAAATTACTAACAAAGGTATTGTATATTAATGAGTTAGTATTAGTCACACACATTAGACTAATATCCCCAATCTCAATACATTCAGTTGAAATTGAAAATGGTGCTCCAAGTTGGTCCAGCCTCTTGCTTGAGGACAAGATCTCTTCTTGATCTACTGACGTCTGTCAGTGAACTTGGGGAACCCCAATGGGAAGAAGAGAAGATGAGGGATGAAGGAGGCTGAAGGTTTGAGAATCTAGTTTGGTCCTGTCTCTGCCACCCCTGGAGTGCCTTTAGCACCTAATTCCCTAAAAACTCCAGCTTTGGAATTCCCTTCACCATCTGTGCCAAGACCCTTGTAGGATGTGACCTATGGCTCACTTCATATTTTTCTTTACCTTGACTCTCCTCTTTTAGGCAAAAATATTATTTTAGAAGCAAATGTTAGTCACCTTTGGAGCATAATCACGAACCAATTAATTGATAAACTGTCCAATAACAAGAAAGGATCAAACATTGATCCTGCCTTTCCTATATGAACGGTGCCACCAGCAACTGAGGAGGGGCAGCCCGTCTTCCCAGAGGCATTCCAATGAATACACGAAAAAGAAATGACAGAAGAGGATATCAACCATTAAGGGACCGAGGCACTGCGTGAGCATCAGTGGTTTGCCAACTTCATAGAAAGAGGGACACGGGACGTTACACACCTTTGAATGAAAGAGCGCACCTTCTCCTCCATTCTTGCCAAAGGGATTGGACCTGAGTCTGGCCAAGTCTCTAGGTCCAGCTACCAATCTGCAGGAAAACACTGAGGATGAGGTGGGGAGGAAAGCACATGCAGGAGCCCCAGGACTGTGCAGTCAGCTAAATCCAGACCAAAAATGCTCCGGGTCAAACAGCCGGGGATCTTCAGCAGATAAAGGGACTGGTCCAAGCTTAGAAGACACAGCCAGTTTCTACAAATGGGAAAGATTAAACTATCGTATTAAGAGACTGATAAGACTCAAGTGATAAAACTGTAAAGACATGCAAGGAAGTCAAGCTACTGTTGGCCGGGAGATTGAGATTAGAACATGAAGAAGATTCCAGAGTGGCTGGCCAAAATTCTGTTTCTCAACCTGGCTGGTGGTTTGGGGAACTTAATAACTCATTACTAAAACATCTATTTTGTGTGGTTTTCTGTATTTGCCTTATAATACCTCAAAATTTAAAAATTGAAAGACGTTACCGTGCTATCATAAATAGAAGAAATCTGTAAAAAGAAAAAAATATATATTTATATATAAAATAAAAGCAAACCAATGACCTAGAAACTGGTGTTTGCCAAAGCTCAGAACCTGAAGCCTGGTACTCTGTGTTAAAAAGGGAAGTGTTAAAAAAGACAGTACAGGGGTGCTGGCACCAAATGGAAACATTTCCCTTGAGGCACTCAGAATTAAAGCGGATTAAAAGGTGAATGTAGGGCGCCTGGGTGGCTCAGTCGGTTGAGCGACTGCCTTCGGCTCAGGTCATGATCCTGGAGTCCCGGGATCGAGTCCCGCATCGGGCTCCCT